CCCCAGACCTTGCGGAAGTTTGATGCAGTGTGGGTCATTGTGGATAGGTTGACCGAGTCGGCACACTTTATACCCGTTGTGACTACTTACACTTCAGAGAGATTGGCTCAGATTTACATTCGGGAAATAGTCCGGTTGCACGGTGTGCTTGTCTCCATCACATCAGATAGAGGCCCTCAGTTCACTTCTCATTTCTGGAGAGCTGTTCAGGGTGAGTTGGGGACCCGCATAGAGCTTAGAACAACATTTCATCCATAGACCGACGGGCAGTCGGAGCGCACAGTCCAGATCTTGGAGGACATTCTTAAAGCATGTGTGATTGACTTTGGAGGACAGTGGATCAGTTCTTGCCTTTGGCAAAGTTTGCTTACAACAACAGCTACTAGTCCAGCATTGAGATGGCTACATTTGAGGCCTTGAATGGGCGGCGATGTCGTTCTCCCATCGGGTGGTTTGAGCCTGGTGAGGCTAAGTTATACGGCACAGACTTGGTGAAAGATGCCTTGGATAAAGTGAAGTTGATTCAGGAAAGTCTTTGCACAACTCAGTCCAGACAGAAGAGTTATGCGGATCAGAAGGCGTGTGATGTATCATTCATGGTTGGCGAGAAGGTCCTTTTGAAAGTCTCGCCAATGAAGGGAATTATGAGGTTCGGGAAGAAGGGCAAGTTGAGCCCAAGATTCATTGGCCCATTTGAGGTGTTGAGGCGAGTTGGGGAAGTTTCTTACGAGCTTGCCTTACCCCCCAGTTTATCGGGAGTTCACCCAGTTTTTCACGTGTCTATGCTTCGGAGGTATCATGCCGACTTGTCCCATGTGTTAGACTTCAGTACTATTCAGTTGGATGAGAGCCTGAGTTACGAGGAGGAGCCAGTTGCCATTATTGGTAGACAAGATTGCCAGTTAAGATCCAAGAGGATTTCAGCGGTAAAGGTCCAGTGGAGGGCCAACCAGTCGAGGAGGCGACCTGGGAGTCCGAGGAGGACATGCGGAGCAGATACCCCCATTTATTCAGCACCTCAGGTACTTTTCTATGTCCGTTCGAGGACGAATGTTTGTTTAAGAGGCGGAGGATGTAACGACCCGACCGGTCGTTTTAATTTTTAGAACCCCGTTCCCCTAAATAAAACTTCCCGCACTTGCTCTAACTGATTTACGACCTGCGACGATGGTTTGTTCGGGTTTTGGAAGAGTTTGGGTTGAAATAGGCTCACTTGATTCTTTAAGATTTTCTTAAAAGGCTAAGTTTGACTTTGGTCAACATTTTTAGTAAACAGACCCGGACTAGTGATTTGACGGTCCCGGAGGGTCCGTAGGAAAATATGGGACCTGCGCATATGCCCGAAATCGAATTCCGAGGTCCCTAGCCCGAGTAATGAATTTTTGTTGAAAATTGTTAAACTGGAAATTCTAATGATTTAAAGAAACTAAATAATGAGTGATCGCATTGGTATCGGACTCGTATGTTGGTTTCGAAGCCCAGTACAGGTCCAATATATCATTTAAGACTTGTCAAAATTTGGTGTCAATCCGAGTAGTTTAAGTACGTTTCGGCACGTTAGAAGTGAATTGAAGAACTTGAAGTTCATAAGTTTGATTCAATTGGTTTTAGGGGTGATTCTTAGATTTAGCATTGTTTCGGGCGTTCCGAGGTTCGAGCAAGTCCGTTTCATGATTTCAATCTTGTCGGTATATTCGGGCGGGGCTCGGGGGCCCCGAGCGTCAATCAAGCGAGGCTCGAGTGAAGTTGGAAATTTTGGGAAGGAGCTGAAGCTCCCAGCTATCTGTCATAACCGCACCTGCGGTTGGTCAGCCGCAGGTGCGAGACCGTAGAGCGGTCTTCCTCTCGCAGATGCAGCCAAGCCAGGCCAGGCCCAAAGCCGCAGAAGCGGCTATTTTTCCTCAAAAGCGGAGCCGCAGTAGCGGCTTGCATCTCGCAGATGCGGCCCAATAGCCCAGTTGCGTTTTCGCAAAAGCGGGCGACTTTCCGCAGATGCGGTGAGCGCAGGTGCGGCCCAGGACCGCAGATGCGGAAATCACTGAAGCAGTGAGCTCATTCAATACGGGCTCCAGGCCATTTTTTCCCACTTTACACTCATTTATTGGGCGATTTTGGAGCTCTTGAGAGAAGATTTTCACCTAGCATCTTGAGGTAAGTTCATACTCCTTATTTCTAAGTATAATACTTGAGTTTTGGGTAGATTAACACACAAAAATTAGGAAAAATCAAGAGATAGAGCAAGACCTAGGGTTTTGATAAAACATAGGTCTCATTTGATAACTCGTGTTAATTTATTTGACTATGATTGTGCCTTATGTGCCCTCTTAATGATGATTTATATTATGGATCGGGCCGATCGCCTCGGTAGAAATAGATGTATCTATGGTTCGCGCCATTCGACCCTCTAGCAGTGCACATTTCTTTCATATTGGACCGGACCGTACGACCTCGGCATAATGTGCGCATGATATCTATGTGAATTCATATTCATGACTTGTCTTGTTAAGTGCCCTGAAATGTAAATTGCTAATTATGGAATTTTCTAGAAAATGGCTTTTCTAGTGAAACAATTATTATATTAAATGACCCTAGTAAGTGTCAAGTCGACCTCTCGTCTCTACTTCTTCGAGATTAGACGGGAAACTTACTGGGTACATATTGTTTATGTGCTCATACTACGCTTCTGTACGTAATTGTACAGGATCTGCGGCAGGTACATCTGGTTATCAGTCTGGTGTGCACGCTTGATTGTAGTCCAAGATTCCACGGTGAGCTGCTAATTTCCTATGCCGACCAGCAGCGATGGAGTCATCCTGTATTTTCTTTTGCTGTCTATCCTAGTTCTGACAGTAGGGTAGATTATTCTTTTGTATATTCTACTAGATGCCCATATACTTGTGACACCAGGTCTTGACACACGCATTAGTAGGCTATTCTTTTGGGATTTGTATAACTATTTCGGTTCGATGCAAATTATTTCCTGTTTTAAGCTTTACTTAGAGTTTGTGATGACTGTTTGGGGAAAGATAAAACGAGAACATATTAAAAATTCCGCGTTGGCTTGCCTGACAACAGTGTTGGGCGCCATCACGACCTGAAGTGGAATTGGGTCGAGACAAGGAGCTCTTTCCTCATTTCGAAAAAAGATCTTGGACTTCAAGAAAGACATCTTTTACACACATTGTTCAAAACATCCCTTTTTACACACCTTGAGAGTTGCTGGAACACACATCTTTGAACAAAAAAATCAGCAGCTGAATACTTTAGTAAGCTGAAGTTGGTGAGCTTTAGAGTGACTCCTAGAGTGCAAAAATCATTAAGAAAAAATAGAGCAATCTTTTGGCTAAGTTCTGAGTTTGTTAGCTACTAGTTTTAAGTGTCTTCGTGGAATTTTCTGGGTTGTTTCTAACACTGATCTGTTGCTGGTTGTTGCTCTTTTTCTGCTATTTCTGCCGTTGTTTCTGCCCACTTCACTACTGTTTATTCTTTTGCTATCCAGGTAATCCTTTAAGACTCGTAATGTATATCTTTTCAGCAATGGGAACAACTTGAACCTGTTGCACCATTTAAACGTGTTTGATGTGATGATAGTTTGACAACAAAAGAGCTTGGATGTTATTGTTATGTATCAAGCATGTAATAACGTGAATATAGTCCTTTATAATACTTGAATATCGAGATGTAAGTTTTTGAATATGATACGTAAGTCGTTTATGGGGTTCTAAACATGTTTTCAAGATATTGTATCCGAGTAACAATACTAAGTATGCCATGAATGACTTTAGGTGTATGACACATAGCATGATTTTGTTTTAGTTGCTAAAATTACACTGCCAATATATGTTTCTAGGAATGCTGTAGTAATATCTTTGTGAATCTGGCCATTTTTCCGGATTTGCAAAATTGGCTATTTTTGTAAAGTGGGCGTTCATACAATTGTGACTATGTAGTTAGTGGTCATGAATGCATACTAAGTAAAGAGCTAAGATTGTATCAACTCTAGGCCTTATTGAATCAAATAAAAGCTGGCCCATTTACCTTTAAACAACAAAATTACCCCTTTTCTTCTATATAGCATTGGGCCAAATGAATCCATTTCTTGGCCCATTTTTAATAATAATTCAGCTAGCCCATATTTTTAGTAATGCCAGATGGGCCAATAATGTTCTAGTCCACTAGCTTACCATTCTCTAATGAATCATTAAACTTACTCAGTGCCTTGCAATAGCCAAATCTAAAGCTACCCTTTTTCTGTAAATTGATACGTTGGCCCAATAAGTAGTAGTTCTAACAATGATCCCTATAGGGATCCTAGTCGAGTAGTAGTATACAATGAATCCACAGCTACCACCGCTGCTCAGCGCACCCTCCCCCCGTAACTTCGTTTGTTTAGTAATACTAAGTATCGTTCATGATCACACAAAAAAGTTATATATAAATATATGTTACCATAGTTTTAATCAAATGAACGCTTGAATTATAAAATTACCAAAAAGATAAACTTTTTTAGTTAAAAGCACTTATTGAAAAAATATTAACAAGAATAATCAAGTAGTGCATTTCAAGAGGATAGTGAAGGCTAAATGCGAAGTATGGTCCACCTAAAGAATTCAATAGCTTAGCTTAGGACCACCTTAGTTAAGTTTTTATCCGTCAGTAAGAACCCATAATCATGCTTTTGAGCCTAGTATACAAGCAAACAGTACAATAATATTTTTGAAATGACTATAATACCCTTGGTCGACCTCCTCTTCTCTTTTCTATATAATAGAATATATNTGTTCATCGTGGCGTTTTTTTTTTTCTGCAAAATTCAGTGTTTCTATGTGCATTTGACTGTTAAAATAATATTTGGAAGTAAATAAATCAGGCCTTTTCGCATAGGCGCCTTTTCCATTTTTACATTGTGCTATTAGATGTGCCCTTGTCATTACCAATTTCGTGTGCAAACAGTAATGTTTTCTGGAGTTTGTATGATTTTATCTTCATCTACTGCAACATAACTAACTCCACTCATGCAGGCTGATGGATTGATCAAGGATGAGGCTCAGTTTGTTCGTGTGGCAATGGGACATGAGGGTGAATCTCTTGATGAATTTGTCGAAGCACACAAAACAACTTTGAATGATATCATGTACTTTCCTACCCGGAATGCTTATGGTCTCTCAAGTGTTGCTGGAAACATGGAAAAGCTAGCTGCTTTACAGAATGAGTTTGAGAATGTGAAGAAGAAAATGGATGATGATACTAAGAAAGCAACAAAGCTTGAGCAGAAGATCAAAGTCCTTACTAATGGATATCAGGTACATTTAGCGGTTTAATTGTTGAATCTGAATGTGGTTACAACTTCCTGTACAGTTCTCTGTTTAATAGCTTCATTTGTCTGGAGGTTTGATCTGCAAGCAGACGTGTTTCTAGTTCTTACATGGATCTTTCTTGGCTATCCTACCTCCTTTTTTTGGGTTTTGAGAGTTGAGATGTAAGCTATAAATTCCAGCTAACAAATATTCATTGTGGATGAGCAGATGCGAGCTGGAAAACTCTGGTCACAGATAGAGGCTACGTTTAAGCAAATGGACACAGCAGGGACAGAACTTGAATGCTTCCGAGCATTACAAAAACAAGAGCAGCTAGCAGCATCACATAGGATCAACAATCTGTGGGAAGAAGTTCAGAAACAAAAGGAGCTTGAACGTACTTTACAGAAAAGGTACGGTGACCTCATAGCAGATAAGGAAAAGATGCAGCATCTCATGGATGAGTACAGAATACAAGCTCAAATGCAGGAAGAAATTGCAGCAAAGAATCGTGCTCTTGAGCTGGCCAAGGCAGAAATGGAAGAAAAGCAGAGCACATTTGCTGCTACTGAAGCTGGTGTGGAATCTTCAGGTACTGGCCAATGCTCCAATGCAGAGGAAACTTTTGCTTCTGCCGCTCATGTATCATCATCTGCTATTGAAGCTGATGATGTGCCTGTGGAATCTTCAGAGACTGGCCATTAGCCGTTTTGCCATCGATATAAATGCTTCCCCTGAAATAATCTACTGTGAGGGCCACAGTGTGACCATAGAGAGGATTATGATATGCTGAAATTATAATGAGGAAATTATCAGGGAGACGAAAATGTGCAGATTTATGCTTGTGTTTTGCATTTGATTCATGGTTTCATAGGTGAATCTGGAGTAGGAAGAATAGTAATTAATTTTGTGTGACAAAAATAGCACTTTGGTCCTCATTTAGCAAGTATTAGGCACTCTTTCTGCATTGGTAGTACGATCAAACTCAATAACTTTTTGATATGTTCAAACTCCAGAAACTTGTAAATTCATGGTCTATAGCTGATATTTGAATTGTTATACGGATTTGGATGAGGAGCCTGGTGCTGTTTGTGTCAAAAATAAGAGATGTAAATTTACATATCTTTTTGTATACTGCAGTGTTGGTTCAATTCTTGGTTGCAGAGCAGAGATACTGCAGCTCGATGTTACGGATGTGAAAATGGACTGCTTTCAGGCAGAATGATAGGACGATAATTCTGTTGGATCTAGAGACTTGCATTCGAACATGGTTTCACAACCTCCTTTTGTGCCATGTTGTATGCGTCATAGGATGAAATTTTGTACTATTTAATAAGTTAGAGGATTAACCTAATTCTGCAAATCAGTTGATCTTAAATGCAGTCTTCCCAATTTTTAGGGGCAGAAGCAAAACCGGGATGTTAATGGATGCAAAAATATCACTACTATTTAACAATTCTTTGTCCAAAAAAAGAAAAAATGGGGCGAAGGATTGTATCCAAATATACCAATTTCCCTTTCATATGAATATTATCTGCATTGAGAATTTGAGATCAGTGTTTTGCATGCTATACATCAGTATTCTGGCTATCCAAAATGATATACTAAAACGGTGGAAGCTTTTATTATTTCTGAGACTGCTTTTGTAAACAGATTCCTTTATTTGGAAATGAAGCACCAACTGTGACGACAACCAAACGCGACCAGCTCATTCTTCCATTGTTTTCCTTATGATGTTTTATACCAGTATCACCTCAACTTTTTTGGGACTGAGGCGAAATTATTGTTGTTGTTAGTTTATACCAACTTTATCTATTCAAACCAAGATGCACCTAATTCCTTAGCCATGAATGCATACCTGTCTGCAGCTTCATCAATCTGCAAGCATATTAGCCGTTTTTGACAAGCATATCAAGCCGCGTCACTTTGAGCCAGGCCAACAGGTATTGCTATTCAATTCTAGACTACGACTGTTCCCTGGGAAGCTAAAGTCGAGATGGTCAGGTCCGTTTGAGGTGGTGCGAGTTACTCCTTATGGTGCAATCGAGTTGCGAGCTTTAAATGGCGAAAGGAAATTTTTGGTGAATGGTCATAGAGTCAAGCATTATTGGGGAGGAATGATTAATCGCGAGAAGACCAAGGTTGTACTCGCAGATTAGTAAGCGAGACTCTGCGTCGTGCCGCGACGTTTAATCAAGCGCTTGTTGGGAGGCAACCCAATTTTTATTGCTTTCCTAGCTTAACTTCTTAATTTTTCTTTTAGAATAGGTAGAGTATCGCATTTTCTTTATAGGGTTAGAAATTTTAGATGTAATGGTATAGGATGTGTAAAATTGGGTATGTATAAGGCTCGGGGGATCGGGAGGTTTCTTAAAAAAAAAAAAAATTTAACGTGAACAGCGCCCAGGCCAGCGCCCAGCGCTGCCTGGAGCGCCAAAACCAGTAAGTTCAAGCACCCCAGCGCCAAGCATAGCGCCAGGCGCCCAGCTGGGGGGGGTCCAGGTAAGTTTTTAATTTTTTTTCGTTATTTAGTTTATACTCTAACCCATACCCATTTAACCCAACCCATTTATACTCTTACACCATTGCTTTTGTATGTTGTATGTAGTAGAATCTTCTAAGTTAGCTTAATTTAGTATAGTCTAGTATTTGTGAAAGGCGCATTCCATATGTCTTTTGCTTACCTTATTGAGAATTCACGCTGCCATGATCACTCCTTATTGTGTCGCATGGGGAAGTCTTGAGTACCCATAGCTTTGAGGTGCAACAATTATATTTGTGCCTTCGGTTTTAAGTGTGGGGTCATTTCATGACTTGCACGACAACCTTAGGCATATTTCTTGCACCATTCTCACATTCATGTTTACTTGTGTTGCAGGATACAATGGCTCGTGATAGCACTAGAAAAGGCAAAAGCATTGGAAAGCCCTCCACCACCTCTCCGGTGCCAAAAAAGCGCAAGCAAAGTGAAAGCTCTTCGCGGCAGCCCAAAGGCAAGCAGGTCGCCGAGGGATCTCAGCCCATGCCAACGAGGAGGCCTCGTTTGGATTTGATCGATGATGAGGCTATTGCATGGCATAGGGACTTCGTGTCGTCTGGGCGATATATTTCTGAGATGGGGATTAACACCGAAGCCTTAGAGCGGAAATTCCCTTAGGATATTATAGGCGATTTGTAGAAGGGTTTTCCTCTATATCAGCACCATTGACTAAGTTAACACAGAAAGCTACTAAATTCCGGTGGTCTGACGCTTGTGAACGAAGTTTTCAGGAGTTGAAGAATCGATTGACATCCGCACCAGTGCTCACTCTTCCTGAAGGACCAGAAGGTTATGTGGTATATTGTGATGCCTCAGGTATAGGTTTGGGGTGCGTATTGATGCAACGTGAGAAGGTGATTGCTTATGCATCAAGACAATTGAAGAATCATGAAAAGAATTATCCAACCCATGATTTGGAATTGGCTGCAGTAATATATGCTTTGAATATATGGCGGCACTACTTATACGGCGTCCATGTTGACATCTACACAGATCATAAGAGTTTACAATACATCTTCAAGCAGAAAGAGTTGATTTTGAGGCAGCGTAGGTGGCTTGAATTAATGAAAGACTATGACGTCGAGATATTGTATCATCCCGGTAAAGCCAATGTTGTGGCAGACGCTCTCAGCCGTAAGTCAATGGGAAGCTTAGTACACATTGAGGCAGGTAGATGGGGGTTGACTAAAGAGCTTCATCAGCTAGCCAATATGAGAATCAGATTGTTAGACTTTGATGACGGAGGTGTTACTGTACATAATACATCAGAATCATCTTTGGTAGCCGAGGTAAAAGCACGGCAATATGAAGATCATATCTTAGTACGATTGAGAGAGAGCATTCAGCAGTGTAAAATTACGGCTTTTGAGATCGAAGGAGATGGGGCACTGAGATACCAGGGCCGATTATGTGTGCCTAATGTGGCAGGGTTGCGAGAGAAGATTATGAATGAGATTCATCAATCCCGATATTGCATCCATCCCGGCTCGACAAAGATGTATCATGACATTAAGGAGCAGTATTGGTGGGATAACATGAAGAAGTCTATTGCAGAATTTGTAGCCCAGTGTCCTAATTGTCAACAAGTAAAGATCGAACATCAGAAACCCGGTGGATTGCTTCAGAATATAGAGATTCCGACCTGGAAATGGGAGGTGATTAATATGGACTTCATTATTGGGTTACCTCGCTCTTATCATAAGTTTGACTCCATCTGGGTGATAGTTGATCGACTTACAAAATGTGCCCATTTTCTGCAATTTAAGACAACTTATACGGCTGAAGATTATGCGAAGTTGTATATCAAGGAGATTGTTAGGCTTCATGGTGTACCAATATCTATTATATCAGACCGAAGAGCTCAATTTACGGCTAACTTTTGGAGGTCTTTTCAGAAGGGTTTAGGCACACAAGTGAATCTCAGCACTGCATTTCATCCACAGACTGACGGACAAGCTGAACGTACCATTCAGACACTTGAAGATATGCTACGAGCATGTGTTCTAGATTTTTAAGGGAAATTGGGATGACCATCTTCCACTCTAGAATTTGCCTACAATAATNCCGCTTCTGCGGTTCTTTTCATCGCAGAAGCGAGTCCGCTTCTGCGAAAATTCCTTCGCTCCTGCGGCTCCTGCCCAAAGGTCCTCCTATCACTTCTGTCGGCTTCCAAGCCGCTTTTGCGGCTCTGCTTCTGCGGTTCCCAAGCCGCAGAAGCGAAAATACCAGTAGCCCTGCTGCAATTTTCCTTCTAACTCCAAACTTTGCCCGTTGAGCATCCGAAATACACCCGAGGTCCCCGGGACCTCAACCAATCACACACACAAGTCATATAACCTAACACGGATTTGCTCGAAGTTCCAAATCATATAACACAACATCGAAACGATGAATCAAACCAAAAATCAAGTTTATGAACTTCTAAATCTTCAAATATCGAAACCCATGCCGAAACCTATCAATTCAACTCGAAATGACGCCAAATTTTACAGACAAGTCCAAAATAACATAGCGGAGCTATTCCAACTCTCGGAATCGCATTCCGACCCCGATATCCCAAAAGTCAACTGTGGGTCAAACTTCTTCATTTTCCAACTTCAACTTTCACCGAAATGCCTCAATTTACTCTACGGACCTCCAAATCTGAATCCGGACACGCGCCGAAGTCCAAAACCACCATACGAAGCTGTTGAGATCATCCACGACCCATTCCGGGGTCGTTTACCCAAAAGTTCAATTCCGGTCGACTTTTCACCATTCTAACTTCCAAAACAAGGTTTCTTCACTAAATTTGACTCTAAACTATCCGAATGTCGAATTCCACCATGCACGCTAGTCGATACTCATATTACGAAGTGGTTCCAGACCTTATGCCGCTGAACAGAGCTTAATTTCTCAAAATGACCGGTCGGGTCGTTACAGCTACGGTACAATGATAACAAACTGGATGAAATAGAAAGGACTCCGGGCCTGCGGACGTCAGCAAGGCTACCTCGAATGTCCCTGGACTGGAAGCTCGCTCCTGAAATGCTACTGCTACTCAAATGCTGCTCCAACACCTGGATCTGTGCAAAAAGATGCACAGAGTGTAGCATCAGCACAACCGACCCCATGTGCTGGTAAGTGCCTGGCCTAACCCCGGCGAAGTAGTGACGAGGCTAGGACCAGACTCCAGATAAACCTGTGCAGTTCAAGTATATATACATACAACGGATAATAATACAGGAAGTAACAGCCAATAACGGGAAGGGGAAACATGTTAGGGGGGAAAACAACAGTTACAATTAAGAGAAACCACAATAACGATGAAGCAGCCAAGAATTTACATCAATCAAGCAACAAATATTCCAAACAAAACACACTTGAGACAGCAACTGTTGCGGCGTGCAACCCGATCCTCATATATCAGTGTTGCGGCGTGCAAACCGACCCTCAATATCATTGTTGCGGCGAGCAACCCGATCCGTGTGGATATTATTTATCCTTGTTACGGCGAGCAACCCGATCCGTGTGGATATTATTTATCCTTGTTGCGGCGAGCAACCGGATCCGTGTGGATATTATTTATCCTTGTTGCGGCGAG